TGCCTCCTGAAGAAGCTGAACTGTTTAATTACACGGGGAAGAGTCGTCGGCAGCTGCACCAGGTGAGAAGGGACCTTGGTGTGTGTGTGTGTGTGTGTGTGTGTGTGTGTGTGTGTGTGTGTTGTTGTGTGTGTGTGTTGTGTGTGTGTGTGTGTGTGTGTGTGTGTGTGTGTGTGTGTGTGTGTGTGTGTGTGTGTGTGTGTGTGTGTGTGTGTGTGTGTGTGTGTGTGTGTGTGTGTGTGTGTGTGTGTGTGTGTGTGTGTGTATGTGCCTGCTTACTTTCGTATGTGAATAGGTATGCAAGGTCTGTACTTTCACAGACCTTGCACTTATATGCACTTACAAGTAACAGAATCAGTAACCCTAAAGTCATCATTAAACCAAGACCAACATCATTCCCACCCCCCATCCCCCACCACTCCCTTCCAACTTCCCCACTCCCACTCCCCCTTCTCCATTCCCCACCACAGGACCTAGCGAGGAGCGGGCGGCCTCCCCACCAGGCGTCAAAAGTCCGGCGAGGCAACCTGGGAGGCCCCGCGACGGAGAGGCGCGAGGAACACCTAGGTCCTCCTCGGCGACGCAAGGGCGGCCCCGCGACCCAGCCTCACACTGCCAGAGACTACCTCCTCACCGCCCGCGCCACCGCCAGGGATAAGGTGGGATCCTTGCGTTGAAAAAATGGGGTCCCTAGTGGAATAAGTTTTAGTGGAAAAGATATATTTATTTAAAACGAGATGGATAGACATAATAAGGTAGATAAATCGGATTAGATAGAAAAATGAGTGAATAGAGAAACAGGCAATTAGATAGATAGATTGATAGACAGACATACAGGCAGACATACATACATACATGCATACAGACAGACAGACAGATAGACAGATACATAGACAGACAGACACACACACACACACACACACACACACACACACACACACACACACACACACACACACACACACACACACACACACACACACACACACACACACACACACACATACAAACAAACAAACACAGACATGAATGTGTAACAACACAATATACAAACAAAAAACCCATATTCACTCACCGTCTTACAACAGCACCTCGCTCGCGTCGCCGAAGTGGAGTCCAGGCGTCTGGACAAGGAGCTGCATCGAGAGCGAGCCATCAACGCCAACCTCGAATCCCAACTGATGTTCCACGAGTCGGCCCTTCAGGAGTTCCTTCAGCATCACTACAGACAAGTTTCCGATGCGCTTTCTAAGTAAGAGTGGGGAGAGGATGGTGGGGGCGGGGCGGAGAAGAGGGATGGGAGGGAGGAGGTTGAGGAGGAAGGGTGGATGGAGGGAGATTGGGAGAGGGAGGGAGGGCGAGAGGGAGGAGGAGGAGGAGAAAGGGGGTGAGGAGGAGGGATAGAGGGTAGATAGAGGGATAGGAGGGAAAGGGAGAGCGGTTAGAGGGAAGGAGAGAGAGGAGGCAAGAGAAGGAGGAGGAGCATATGAGGTGATAACCTCCTATATGGATTGAATGATTTACTGGTGGCGGTAGTGATACACTGATGTGGCTGTACACTTTATTAATAACACACGAATGTAAGGATCACGTATGATGGCGGTGCTGAGCGGGAACCCACGGCCTGGCCCTGAGAGAGGGCAGCCGCCGGGAAGAGGGTAGCGGAGATCCGATGCACATATATATTTATGTCTAAGGAGAGTGTGAGGGCGCGACAGGCAGGGTATGAGGGTGAGGTCAAGTTCTGCTGACCTCTTATAAGCCTGGGGGACGCCCCAAGCTATATTTAGAGAGCGTGGCTTGGGTATGCTTATGCTGGGAGGAAAACCAATAAGGAAACCCCACCCGGCCCACACCGCGTGCGTGCCATGAGTACACTTTCTCCGCTCTGGTCTCTGGTCCCAAGCCACGTGATTGGTCTCTTCTGTAGTAATATGTGTCCTCTTCTATAAGGAGGAGGGTGATGAGAGTGAGAAAGAGGGAAAGAGAGATAGGAGGAAGGAAGGAGAGTGGAAAGACGAAAAGGATTGGATGAGGAAGGAAGGGAGTAGGGGGGGGGGGTAAATGAGGAGAGAGAGAGAGAGAGAGAGAGAGAGAGAGAGAGAGAGAGAGAGAGAGAGAGAGAGAGAGAGAGAAGAGAGAGAGAGAGAGAGAGAGAGAGAGAGAGAGAGAGAGAGAGAGAGAGAGGGAGAGAGACAGAGACAGAAACATGGACTGATACAGGCATAGACAGAGAGAGAGAGAGAGGGAGAGAGAAAGAGAGAGAGAGAGAAATGGACTGATACAGACATAGACAGAGACAAGCAAAGGAGGGGGACCAGTCTAAAAAAATAAACAGTGAACTAAAACATCAATATCATGATGGATCTATAACATTAACCTCTCGTCAACAGAGGCGAGGACGCGCGACGGAACCTGACAGAGCAGGAGGTCCGAATCGACTATTTCTCAGGGCTGCTGGCGGAGGCACAGACGGTGCAGGAGGAGGAAGAGGAGCGTC